TCCTTTTAAAGCAGTAATAAGCTGGAAAGGAGGGATGAAAAACGACAGAGCGGATATAAAACAGGGAGGAGGAGGAGAAGAAAACATGTTGACAAAAGCCAGTTAAGAAATAAGAATGAAGGGAAGGGGTTGAAGAAAATAATGAGAGAAAAGATGAAAAGAGAAGAAAGCCATGGAAGGATAAACAGAAAGAGACGTTAGGAACGCAACAGAGAGGGGAGGTGAAGGGAGGATGGAGGAGAAGGAGAGAAGAAAGAAAACAAGGAAGGAGAGATGAAAGAAAACAGAAGCACTGATTTCATCCTCTCCTCTTCTCCTTCCCATCATCCTTTTATCTTCCTTTTCTCCATCCATCTCATTCTCCACAAGAGTGGAGAATGCAGGATAAAAAGGGATGGGGGAAAGACAACAAGGAGGAGAAAGAGATGGATGGAGAAAAGGAAGATAAAAGGATGATGGGAAGGAGAAGAGGAGAATTTAAAGAGAGAGAAGCAATAACGGGAGAAAAAGAAATAAAAAAAGGAAATAACAGAGGGATGAAATCAGTGGAAAGAAGGATGAAGAAAGAGGTAGAGGCGGAGGTGTGGAGAGATGGATGGAGGGGCCTCTGTCCCAAACAAAAGCTGTGGGCAGGCTCAGCATATGCTTCACAAAAACACCCTCCCCCCCTCCTCCTCCTCCTCCTCCTCCTCCTCCGTCAATCGTTTGTTTTCTCTCCGGGTGACAAACAGCAGCGTGGTCCAGCCTCTGTAGGCCTCTCTAGGTCTCTGCAGACCCCTGCAGACCCCTGCAGACCTCTGTAGGTCTCTGAGGTGGTTTTATTGTCGGCTCCTGCCATCCAAGTGCTAAGTCACCTAACGTTAGCTGCACATTATTGGATTTCGAGATAAAAATACAAAGAAATTGATTCTTTGTAAAATATTTTGCCATGCATCGTTATACATGGGTACAATATGACTAGGCATTTAATCTTGAAGGGTTAAAATTACCTGTTTCATTTCATCTGGACTTTTAAGGTAACTCATTCGACTCACACAGACAAGAGTTTAAAGCCAGTGTGTTTTATTTGTGTCTTACGTTGAACCTTTTTGGCATTACTAATTTGGGAAAATGTCCAAAATACTTAAAAGATTGTGTTTATGAGGCCTGGTTTCCAAAGTCTGCTGGTGTATCTCACAGCAGGGCCAATAACCCAGAACCTGGACCCAGCTAATCAGAACAAAGTCTGGTCCAACATACTGCCAGCATCCACAGATCCTGATCACCAACAGATACACCAGCAATGTATACGACGCCCAGGATGCTGGCCCTATTCGCACTATTTTTGTTTTATTTATTAACAGTTTTGACACATATTTTTCTTTGTATTTTGGACTTGTAGTTGTTAAAAAATGAGCAAAAAAAGCTCAAATATAAGTTTATGTGTATTTAATTAACAATGTCATCACCACGAGAGTCGGACGTCATCGCAGAGGAGAGAGGCTACATAACTGTTAGCCCTCGAGGATAAAGGGTCATTATGTTAATGAGCGAGAGAGAGAGAGAGAGAGAGAGAGAGAGAGAGAGAGAGAGAGAGAGAGAGAGAGAGAGAGGGGGGGGGTGGGGGGGAGGTGACACATGTCGCGGTTGCCACGGTAACCGACGCTCCTGTGCATCACGCACACGAAATGCCGCCACTTGGCACGTAAACAGAGTCTGTAGCCAAACACGTCCCATAAGACCCATCCATCCCTTCAATCATTCATTCATTCATCCCTCCATCCCTCTGCTCACCGTCTGCTGCTCCCCGAGGATGAGGAAGAGGAGGGGGAAGAGGAAGAGGAGGAGGGGGGGGGATAAAGGAGAGGATGTGGAGAAAGAGGAAGAGAGAGGAGTAAGGGATGAAGGATGGAGGAGAAGAGGTAGCAAGAAAATGTGTGAAGATGAAAAGGAGGAGAGGGTTGAGGGAAGGTGGAAGAGGAAGAGGAAGAGGAGGATGAAGGAGCATCTTTGGTCCCTGAGGGATCATGAACTTTTACCCTGGTCCCTAAGCTCATCAGAGAATATTCGGACCCCGGTCCCTGAGGAGGTCCCTGAGGTCCCTGAGGAGGTCCCAAAGGTCATGATTGGCCCTCATTACTCTGAAGAGGGCTGATGGGAAATTATGTGCAGAGCGGCGTTTAGATGTGATAATAATTCAGTATCATTTATCACCTCTCAGTAAAATCAATAAATGATTATGTAATGATCAAATGGTGATGTAATGATCATGTGAATCATTCACTTGACCTCTGCCCAGTATCTAAAACATCACACTTTAGCTCCTAACTAATCATGGATGTACGCGTGCGTTCATGAACGTGACTACGTTGATACTGAAACTAATTCTTACAGGAAATGCTTTTAATTTAAGATATTTCATTTTTTAAAACATAGTTCTGAGATTTCTACACATACTTCGAGAGGCAGCTCACGTACAACAGTTTGAGTATTTGAACTTTTATGTGAGACACAAGAGGGAGGCGCTGGTCAGGTGTGCCGTACCGTAGGAATTTTGCATTTCATTTTCAATCAAACAAATTGACTAAATAACTGTTTCAGCTCTGGAAAAGACCAACGCCCCAAAATGTGTAGGTGCGTCTCTTAATGCTGTCTAACTTCCTGTCTGTGGTCAAGATGTTTAAAAACTCTGCTGGTGAAGACGCTGAAATTAAGGTTTTTGGTTTCCCAAAGTCAGAAAAAGGGTGAGATGAGAAGAGATGATAAGAGATATGAGGCTGTTATCTATAGCTGAGGAGGTTATATTTATAGAAAAGTAAATATACATTGTTTTGCACAGTTTGTACTTTAGAAATAAAAAAGGAAGGAAAAATTGTGAGAAAATCATATCGCGAGTGAAATGAATGAATGAATGAATGAGGATATTCATTCCTAAAAAAGTGGCACAAATAGTTGTGTAACTAACGAAAAAGAGTAAAATGTCTGTGTGTAAATGTCAGAATATTGTGTTCAAAGGGAAGGAGGTTTTTAAGGCCTGAGTAGGGAGTGACAGCTGTGAGCTTTACATCAGGTCGATCTGCCGGGACTGAACTCCACTCTTAAACAAATTCTGATCGCCTGCTGATACCAATAATCCCTTCGTCAATACCTCAGCATCCCAGTGGCCCAGTGCACCCGCATCCCTCCTTCTGTCCGTGAATCAATCCATCAATCCATCCTTCTGTCCATCAATCCATCACCACCACCACCACTGATTCTACCCATCCTCTCCTGTCTGTCCGCCCTCACCAGACTTCATTCACTTTTCCACCAATTTTAGCTTTGGTCCTAAAAAGCATCAGTAAAAACCAACAAGCTCGTCGGGCTGTAAAACTACACATCAGCTTTACACGCCGTGGACCTCGGGGGAGGCAGAGATGGAGACAGATGGACAGACAGATAGAGACAGACAGGAGAATGAAAAGACAGACAGGAGAGACTAATCAAGTTACAGACTCAGAGGGAGGTTTGTAGTCAGAGGAGGACAAAGTGGACCTCGGGGAGTGTTTTATGATGGACGGAAGGATGGATTCAGGCGGAGGCAGGAGACAGACTTCTGGGAGGGAGACTTATTGATGAAGTGATGATCGGTATCAGCAGGCGATCAGAACTCGTTTAGAGGGCGAGTCGAAGCGTAGCAGATCAATCTGAAACCCTGTACGCTGCAATATCTGAACTCATAATCACAAGAACCTGTGTTGGTGTTAGAGATCGTCACTCATCAATCTAAACAAACAAACAATGATGAGAGAAAGGCAAGTCAAAGATTTCATATTGCGTGTTCTAAAAAGAGAAAATTAGACTGTGAAAAGAGCTTTAAATCCTGACAGCTGTTAACTAATGTTACTTTCCAACGCGCAGTGATGGATGAACTTATTTGGAAACTGATATTTTGGGCAATTGTGTTGTTTTCTGGGACTTTTCCAAGAGTTTCAAAGTGTTTTTCAGAGCATTTTCATAATTAATGTGACATCTGACCTCTGCCCCGTGTGTAAAGCTCAGTCTGCTGTCGAGTCTTTTTTCACTGGATAAATAACCCAAATGTAAATGTGTGTGTGTTTTGTGGTCAGACAGGCAGTTTGGGGGGATGAATGATGGGACCGGGGCATATGGGTGGCTGGTAGCAGTTGGCAGTGCCACCGAGGCTTTGTGGAGTGATCCATCATTCATCCAAACCACTGACAACGACATACATCGCTGCCAGGGTGTCAATAAAAACACACATGTTCGGGAGGAGATGGAGGAGGACTCATCTGGACGGAGGCAGGGTGAATACAACAACAACAAACAATCTTTCAGTCGCAATCTGCTGCTGGTTGTTGGACCGAGCTGATATGAAGTCTTTAATTAACCATTAATTTCTTTATCTATTAATTTGCAGCTTATTTTCTCCATTAATCAATTTGTTGTTTAGTCTATAAAATATCGGACAAAAGTGGGAAAAATTGGCGGTTTCAAGTTCCTCATTTTGTCATTTAGAAGATTCTTTTTAAGACTGACAAACAAACATGTTGGTACAAAAACAGGTTGTGAGGTCTTTTGTTACTCTTAAATACTTACGTATTTTAGCAGAATAAACTTTACAGGCCAAGACAGCCTGCAACAACATGTTACAGACTTAAAACCATGACTCAGATAACAGAAACAAAACGCAATGAAACTGTAAAATCAGACGTAAACTTGCCAATAAGAACCATAAGAGCCCACCCAAGAAGCAGTTTGTGGAGCCTTAAAGACAAAGTAAGAGCTGTTCAAAGAGCTGATTTAGGCCAAAAATATCCCTCCCATTCATTTTAAATGGAGTTAGTGTGGTGGGTGCATATACGTCCTGAAGCCCTCTGCAGGACCCTGCCGCTAATGGCCCGATTTGGTCTAAATATGATGTAAAACCTTTAAGTAACACAACAACAATCGACACCAACAACCTGTCGTTTTATGTTGTGAAAACAGAAACAGAGTGAAGAAATGAATGAATAACTCACCTCTGTCGAACTCATCTGGAATCTGTCGGAGAGGCAGAAAAGTGAGAAACATTATTAATATCTGTATCAATCAATCATCAGTAAATCTGTCACCTCAGGACCAATCAATGCGTGAGATGTGACGACTCAGGGTTTATGTTTGAGGTGACGACAAACAGCAGCAAAGTCAATCATTTTAATTTATAACAATTCTAGTTTGATTAACTTTATTATGTTCATGAATAATATACAAAATCACTCAGAGGAGATTCCTTAACTCCTCAAACTGGGGGTCTGTGAACTAATGAGTGTGGGAACCCATGTATTAACACACCACAGGAACTTTCCCTTTGGAGGAACTTCAGACCAGGGTCTACATAAAGTTCGGGGACATTATTTCACCCCACTAAAAAGTCCCTGCTTGGGGAGGAAGTATTTTCACAAAAGTACAGGAACTCTGGTGTCAACAGTGTTATAGTGGGACAGACCCAACACAGTCTCATGTTTATTTCTTATTATTGTAAGATTGTTATTGTATAATCGTGCGTCAGCGGACTAGTTTCTTTTATCTTTGCGGGTCTTTAGACGACGAAGGAACCTTCTGGTCTAAAGAAGTTCTGTATTTTGGGTGAAAATGCAGCTTTAGACTTTCCTGATATCTTATATAACAAAATATTAGCCTCTTTCACTACAATGAGCATTTCTTTTTATGCTTCATTATTTATTATTAATTATTAAGTTGTTGCAGCCATTTTGGGTTTGATACCATTTGTTACACTGATTTGGTGCAGCAGTAATTTGCTTTGGTATTTTGGTGCATAACACTAAACAGACAAAGGAAAACAAGTACTGCAAGTACAGAAGCATTGATAATTATATATGATATATGTGTCTTTAAAACAAAAAAATATTATAAAGACAATAATATACCACTTGAAAATGGAATAAAAAGGGTAAAGAAATTTCCTCATTAAGGCACTGAGACCAGTTTGAGATACTTTGTGTCGCTAAAATTAATATAAATTAAGTTAGAAGTAAAACCAGCAGTGTAAAGATTTATTTTTTATTATTTATATGTATATAAATTTATGGATTGTGTTTCCATGACTGGAAAACTAGTCTCTAAACTTCCAGGTTTTACAGGATGCGTGGGAATCCTGCCCTGAGGAACACCACAGAAAAAATCCAGGTTTTGATTTTGGTATAAAAAAAAACTTTTTGGAGATTATTTAGATTATATAGAAAAAATTTTCAGGTGTTCTAGAATAAAAGTCAGATTATGGAATAATTCAAAAGAAATATAAACACTGAGGGAAGAGGAGGAAGGAGGATGATGAAGGACTGTGGGGCAGCGCTCTGGTGTACGACTCCACCTGGTGGCCATGAAGCAGACGGGCTGCTGTATTTATCTCAGACTCAACATGATGAAGATTCATCGTTTCTACAACTAACTG